GGATATCAAACGTGTTGTGAAGTTTGTCATTATTGCGAGTCTATCGGGTCAAGTTCTGTTTCTTCCTTGGAAGGTATTTCCACCTTTTTAGCTCGCAGTGGTTAAGTATGTACGCATCACGACATAACGAGGAAAGAGATTCAAGACCAATTTTCTGGATGAAGCCCTTACTTCGGTCGTCCTATCCGATAGAACCCTTCGTTCTAAACTTACTTATCAATCCCCTGGGCACGGAACTGGACTTGTAGAGCCATTTGCCGGTGATGTTATAGCGAAGTTCGAGATTCAAGTGAGGCAGTAGGCATTGTCAGCCGAGTCGGAAATATTCTTGAATGTCTTGAATTTATGATCGCCGTTTTGAATGAGTCAAGTTCAACCGCAAACATGGACTTCTGCTATCTCCGCGGTCGTGTCATGGCTCCACGGGAATCATAATCTCTTTCATCGAACTGCGTATCCTAAGTTGGAGTATTCCAAGACGGAAGAGAATCCAATATCCTAAACTCCCGCGGTGTCCGACTTGTCGATTACGGTGTTCACTACTAATCCTTCATCAATCTAATAAATCGAGCTAATGATTGGGCTCGGGAGTATTTCAATGAATGCAGCACAAGGTTTCCAAGTAGCCAGCTGGAGCAACTGAATGTGAGTTTTGATTCCGAACTTGTGCACTTGATGAGTTTTCAGAAGGATTTCGCGGTCTCGTTCGTTCTTCGTGCGTGATCCCATTCTCCATGCAGATTTCAAGGATTCAGGACATCAAGAAGTACTATTTGAACGTTGACTCTATCGCTCTCGACACGGTTTGGTGATGCTATAATTACACAGTACATGCCATCCTATCACAGTGACGATGTTATAAGAAACATTCTTGTATCGAAGCAATCCTGCTTGTTCGTTGACATATGCCCCATCCAAGGAACCGCATGCCTTATGCTGGGCTGTCCGGATGACATCTCTACTTGACGCAAACGTTCAACCGAATGGAATACATCAAGCGAGGATCGCATTCAGTCATTACATGCCTTCTTCTTGGAACTTCATGATGAATATACCTCGGCATCATATGAACATGATATTTAGTTTCTAGGCCAAGGTGTCTAGACCCTTTTGTCACACCCATCACTTTCCGACATGGACTGTTTATTATTTTCTGAACCTTCACATCGTGTTCCGTTCAATATTTCACGGATACAGCTTCTTGAACTCCAACGTGAAATGCTCTCAACCCTGTATCACGGTAGGCGAACCGGTACCTTGCCGTTTCTAAGGAAGGTACTTGATTATAAAAAGTGTGAATAATTTTACGGTCTTTGGATTGCCTAAACACGGATGGCAGCCGAACTGGCTGTGACTATCAGCTTATCGCACATCGCCAATTCACGTTAGGATTAGAAAGCAGTTGCAGGGCTTTGGTAACGTCTCAACACAATCTTGTATCATGCATGACATTTAGGTTCTTGGCTGCTGCTCGGGCAGATGTATAATTACTATCTCTGTTCAAAATGTATATCCGTATAGGAATTTGCTCGAACAGTCCAACTTTGATATCTGATCACAAGTTCAGACCTCAAGAAAACCAAAGTACTATTTGTTTCCCCCCGGGCCGTCTTGTTCTTTACATCTGCAGGGAACGTGAATAGTTGGTTTGTTTGTTCATGAACTAAATCCTGATATGCATCTTCTGGATCTTCCATACAACTCACAGAGTACTTATTCCGAGATTGGCATAGTCAATATTGACCGCAGAATAGTTACAGAAAGGCAAAGAATCCTATGGTCTACGCAGGATAACATGAAATTGTGGAACGAGCCAAAATCTGTCTGATATCAAATCTACAGTCTGAAACTATCATCATAATGTCTCCAACAGGTGATTTTGTGGTTTTTATTAGTGATTATGTAGGTTTTTTTTTTGTTTATTTAAAAATTGACCACATCTATTGTCTTCCGATCATTCAGGTGAAGAATTGGCACGACCTCTGTTAGGGCTTTAGAATTCCTATTTATCCTCTTCCTATTCAAAGGTGTAGACTAGATATACGAAGCACTGTGAACAAAAGTCAAGACAGACGTTGGGACCATGTGTTGATGCGTACATCTTTGACCTCCTCTTTAATCGACGACGCGGAAGATGCCAGATCACATTCTCCGTGGATTCTGATAACAGAGCGATGTCCAGTAAGGGTATGTTTGGTGAGACACGCCAAACTCACCGCGTACGCAAGAAACTTGACGACTGCAGCTAGGCATTCAACGAAACTACAGAATATCCAAGCAATAAATTCAACAGCCGTCAGTAGGAGTCAACATATCTGCCACGATAAATGGAGGAGAAATGTCATTCTCTTCATCTGTGCAATTACAAAGGGGCCATTACTGTATTGCAGAGACCTCCAAATGTTGGAGATCAGAAGACCAAAGACGATGACAGTGGATACTTTTGAAGTCCGATGAGAAAGCTTGGACCAGTGCAAACATTTCTATTAATGTACTCTTGGCCGATGAAGTGCCCTCCGGCCAAGACAACCTAACCGGCGTAAACTTGCAACAATTTGGAAAACTAGACTGGACGAACTCTCAAACTAATGGGTCGTTAGTGCAGATGAGATCCTCGGAGACTAAGAGTATTTTGTAATTAGTCTCTTTCCGTTCTCTCATGTCCTACAACTCTTTAACGTTGAGATTTCTCATCACACAACTTCCGGAGGCTCGGTGATGAAATATTTGGACGGACTGATCCACGCCTGGTGGGCAGTACTCATAGCAACCACGATGATGGCACACAAATGGAAGGTCACCGTGGGACGATGAGAGTGATCTCGTTCTGGAAATTTTGAACATTTTTTTTGTCGCTTTATTTTGTATGTCACCAGAACATACTTTCATTGGCTCATTTTGTCGATAACTGAAATTGTAATAACCGGTTAGAACGGTCTTCACCGGCTGTGTTTTAGTAAACCCATTAAGAGAAAAAGGAAAACTAATCCATGTTGAATCTTGGTTTAGCTACCAAGTTATCGGCAAGGAAGGAAGGCTACGCTTGATGTGTGATATATTCCATGTATTTGAGTGTCTCCCAATCGTCACATCAATGTTTTCTTGTACGTGGTTTTATCTTGACATTAATCTGATTGGCTCACATGCAAGAGAGTACACAACTTAGGCCAATCTAGCATATGGTTGTTCGGAATGTTTGAGGTAGACACTCGTGACAACATTAAGTATGTTGGTTTTTCTATAACAATTGAATTGAGTGTTCTACCTCAGAGAGAGTGGTCACACAATGTGGGGAAAGCAAGGGTACACACTTACTTTGACAATTTTCATTCTAGGCCTTCCATACATGTCAAGCGAGACCTCTAAATGTTGTTGATCACGGATCTACCAAAGAGACTATAGTTCATGACTTTCTCAGAAGTCCAGCTGTTGGGTTGCAACTAAAGTCCACATAAACCGAACAAATTCTTCTAACATACATACTTCACCACTGTTGTGAAATATCCGCACATGATTGCAACAAATACAACTTTGATAGTTTGAAGTTCCGTGTTTGAACACATGATAACACACGCCCATGAAGCATACAGTAATAAGAGACTTTTTCTGTTGTCCTCTGCTCACGAGTAAAAGATTCACGTGCAGAATTAAATAGTAGCGGCATGCTGGGCGCCTAATGGGACATCAAGAATTGCAACTTTGGGAACACAAGCTGATAATCTTTAGTAATTTTACATCATGTGTAACCTTCTATGGTTTGGAAATATTCGAGAGCACAAGGCACCATTTGTGGGGGCTTTTCAATTCTAAAGAGACTGAATTAGAGAAATCAGGTAAGATTCGCAGTAGATAAAAAAAGACAAGGCTTTCTCGAAGTGAAGGTGAAAGCACTGCATGTAAGTAGAAGAAGACGAAATCAGGACCTGCAGGTACTTGTTGGTGTAAAAAAATGTAGAAACACGTCCTTCTTCATGGATGTTAACAGTCGATAAATATTCTTAATATAAATATTCTTAATATAATATAAATATTCTTAATATTCTAAGATTTATAGTCACGATGCTGTACATCTCCATTGATATAGACATTATGTGATGTTAATTGAGATAGAATGATACTTGGAGTCAAGCATAAATCAAATCGTTTCCAGGAGGGAAAAACACTAGTTACTACTAGGATGAAATCTATTATCTCTCTGCATTAAGAAATTCGACATTTTCTTCTCATTCTGCTCTCCTGCAATGAATTGTGTAAGATATTATGCTATCAGAATCTGTCACACTGCCATGTGCCAGGACCTCAGGATGTGCTTGCGTTTGTATCCTGGTCTCCTCGTCCAAAAACATTGGAACCAAGACAATATCTGTTTAGGTTCAACCACGGGAATGTTCTCATTCTGATCCTGGCGATGTTCCAGAAAGGAATTCATATTTTTGACTCATTTCAGAAGATATCAAGGATTAACTACAGTATGGTAAATGAAAGCTTGAGTATCATTATCCTGTTCTGATCGTAATCGGAAAGCACCGAACGAACCTACGAAGAAAAGCCGAAGTTATCTGTCTACTTATGACTGTGATAGACTTCAATTACGGATTTTCTAGTTTTGTTGAAGTGGACATGAATCTAACACCTCTAGGGGGCGATTGTTTCCAGAATCATATGATGTAAGGTATTTGAGCACAAGTACAAGGAGTGATAGTGAAACACGTGCTTGTCGGCCAGCTTCCTAGGTGCACACGTGTTGGGTTTTCTTTGGTACGACATTGCATGACCAAATCGTGGTTTTTTAAATAAGTAACATTGAATTTATTCTATGGTTAATTTTTTGTATGGTTCTCGACCATCCTTACTATTTAAACATCCTAAATAATAAGGGTTTCAAAACCACGGAGACTAGAAAGATCTCAATAAAAATATCCAGATGTGAAGAAAAGTCCTATTGTCTGTATTGATAAATAGCTAACTCTACTAAAGTTATTCTAATAGTAAAATTATTGCCTGAAACGGTATATGACGTTCAACTAGGTTCACATACAATGGGGAATAAATCTATCTAAATATATTTTTCTTTCGAATGAATTTTGGAATGCATTTTACCATGATATGTCTCGAAACACTGAGTTGCAGAGTGCGGGGCAACACTCTTGCGTTTTCATATATTTTTAATTAATAAAAGAGAAAAATGAGAGATGAGCCAGTGTTATAACAAATATTGAGCATCAAATATATAAGATGTATGTCATGTTCACTGAAAAGAATATGACATTCGACAATGCGCAACTGTGACGTGTCGATGTTGCAGAAGGTTCGAGTTTCATTCCCCTCGACCAAGAAGGAAAATACGTAGGAAATACGGCTACTAATCCCGATTAATTTTCCTCCTGATCAGTGTGGAGTTGGTCGTTACTGGTTGACGAGCGGATTCTTGTTCTTCTGCGGGGATAGATTTCCTTCCTCCTTCACCGGGTTTACAAATTGAAGATGGTCTCTTCACCTCTATGTAAACAAGACCTCAAAGAACCTTGAAGGCTCCAGAGAGTCCTTCTCCGCCTGGCTTAGGGTACTTGTTCAACATCGAGTATTATGCTCGATCCCCATAGTTTCCTTTCGATCGGGCTTGTTTGCTCTGGAAGAACACAGAAGCTTGGAACCTGGTGGACATCGTCTTCGTCTGCGACTTTTCTGAATCCTCCGCTCCAACCCCACATCATCGATGCTCAAGTTCTTGCCGTCCCTACACCTTTTAGATAATGGAGCACTTTGCAACGACGCATCGGTAGCGTCATCTACACGAGGCTCGCCCAGCCTTCTCCTGCCCGTGCTCATCAATTGGATTTGAAATCTTGAACGCGTAAGCATGACGGCGGCGCTACAACTGCTAGCAGCAACAATCACCATGCCTGCAACAAATGCTCCTGCCGCCTCAATCGTTCGAAAGCTGGACGCCTCTGCGGAACAGACGAAACACGGGCATCCACAGGCAGAGCGAGAAGAACCAGTTACACGACCAGAACAGGCATCTCCAGAGAAAATCGGACGACTTGGCCGGCAACCTTCTCTCTCGTGGATGCGCGTCGAGCGAGCACCAGAGAGATAATTGGCACCAGAGGCTGCTTGCTTCCTGCATCCGGCGCTTAACATTGTTCGAGCCTTCGATCATAAAAGCACCATTCTCCTCTCGCTGGAATCCTATTAAGACTATAATATAATTTATTGATTCAAATAGTAACGACGAAGTACATTGAAAGAAGAATTTTTTAAATAAGTATATTAAAACTATATCTTTCTTTTCGCCAAACCGTGGGAATCAAGCAAAAGTGAATGTGTAGAACAAGGACTATTTCCGATTTTAATATGAAAATGTCATCTAATGAAATGAAGTTGATAATTGCAAAAATTTTCGCAGTACTACATCCATCACATTTTTGTAGAGATGAATAGGACTACCAGCATATGATGAAATTGATGATTTCTTGCTGTACAAGACAATCCAAAACATTATGTTCACTGTTTGTTTCATCATCAACATGCATTATAATTATTGCAAGAGATTTATTCAAGGATTCTTAATCATATGATTTGGAAGATTTTGAGCAAATTTCAAGCTTCAATTACAATACTTTGGATATCCTTTCGTTATAATTCAGCTTGTTTTTAGATTTGCCAATCCAGTCTTTTCATCTGTCAAATTGTCTTGAATTATCCAATACTTAAACAATTACACATTGCAATTATTAACTCTTCTTGCTAACGATTAGAAGAAATTTTAATTAACCAACAGAAATAATAGTGCTATTGATGAGGTTTACGTGATAATAAATTTACTCATACAATTTTTATTGTATTAAATAAGTAATCTTATTTTTTTCCTTTAAAATTTGTCTAATATAATATTTTATCTTTCAGTAATATATTCATGTAAAATTGCAATACATGTCCCGCCTATCAAGCCAGAACATGCTCCCCGCGCACTACGTGAATGGCAGTAATTATGGTGCAAAGTGTAGATGGTGACAATTGGGCAACCACGAAACTTAAACGATTCAGCCTATAATTCAATATTGGAGTCAACTCTCAATAAGATCCGTTTCTGTTGTAGAGCTCAAGAAACATTATCATAATTAGAAATAAGATAATGTGAAACAAATTTTACAATCATATTATTTTATGGATCATATCTATTTCCATGAAAATCTTGATATTTCAATTATTAACATATAAAAGTCCAAGAAGAAACAAAACGGAAGTAAATTTCGCAACCGCTTACTTACTAGTTATTTAAGCAAATATGTACAATACATAGAATGAAATATTCTTAATTTCTATTCATTTTAAGAAAATTTTTATTATAACCCTTGTCTTCAATTTTTCAAAAAATTTCTAAGTGCTACTAATATGAAAAATTAATTTATTCCATCAGATTTTAAATGATTAAATTCAATGCATTTTTTAGCCAAAAAATTACAGATATACATGGATATTTATTTAATTCAAATCGTCTAGATATATTATTTCAATTTCATAAATATTATTTTAAATAGTATTTTATTCATAATGAATTGAGGATAAAAACTAGATAAATACTAGATACTAAATAAGTTATATACATCATGCACATTTACAAGGTGTAGTAAAATAATATTGATTATATTTTTAGCCTAGAATTTAAATAGTTTCTGAAATTGAGATGTATCAATAGCGTTATATTTTAATTTGAATATATATATATATATATATATATATATATATATATTAATATATTATCACTTTTTTAGATTATGTTCATGGAAACACAACACTACTTTATTGAGTTAATTTTTATTGTGTGATCAAGAGTCACAATCAACTTCCTTTTATAATGGCATATTAACATCATAAATTAAACAGGATTAGCCTGATACCATTAATCATGATCTGAATTATGTCATATCAATATTTTCGTTATTCATGTTTTGAAAAGTATATATTTTTCATAATTTATATATTTACTCTGCAAAAAAAATTTAAAAGTAAACCTAATTTATATTCCTATGTTAACTAGACTAAGTCATGAATATGGTAGAGTGAAACTATATAGTCATCGTTTACATAATTGCTAGTAAATTTATACTTAAACTCACATGCAAATTGCAATGTGAAACATTATCTTTTAAATGACTGTAATAAAATCAATTCGATAAAACCTATAAAAGCAATGAATTTAACTGCAGTTTGATTATATCTATGAATTTATCGGACATAACGTGTCAAAAAAATTCAAATTATTGTATTCATTGTTCATCAAAATAAAAATAATCATTAAAATAAAAATTCTGAATTTAAATTAAAAAATAATCTGAACAAAAAAAATAATATCAACCTTAGCAACATCAATCTTCACAATTGTAATCTTCTTCCTTACATTTCAACTTATTTCAAATGCACATAAATACTTGAATGTAAAAACTTCAAATACATTATAGCTTCATAAAATCTCATGGAAAAGAAAATCAGTATATATTTGATTACGCTTTGCTCACAGATATATTTCTTGAGACTCTAGACTCCATCATTGAGTGTTAGATGTAGTTTGAATTTGATCCGATTTATGTTTGACATATTTTACATTTTACAACAAGTGATCATCCTTAATGATGTGACCTCCATGATTAAGTTTGATCTAGTGAATTCAGTATGTTAGATTTTTGCTCTTCGTTGATCGAACATATACAAAACATACAATAGCAAGATTACTAGTCAAAATTTCACATGACATAGAAAATCATTTCAACTATTGAATGTTGATGATTCTATTACGTCCATAATTGTGATCCATATAATTGTATTTGAGGTTTACAATGAGGAGTTGGAAAATCTTCTTAGTATTTTGATAGATTTTTAAATAAAAAATTCATGCATAGAGAATTAAGTATAGAATCAGCAAGCATTTTCATAATATGTCTGACAAGATGGTGCAAAAGTGTGGATCTTGATTGAAAAAACTTTGCTTTGATTTTGTAGATTATCTTGCCGTTACTGCGCATGATTAATTGTCGTGAAAATTATTTGCAGCCTCTTGGCTGATGGCTTAAACACTTCGTGTAAATTTAAAGTTGAAACTAGGTTGGCTGATGGTTTAAAACCCTGCAATCTATCAAAATATCTGTTATCCTACAAGCAATTTCTCTCCATGCAAATTTGTCCTAGACAGGTTGCAATCACTGCATGGAAATGAAGTCTGAGACACTGATCACAATCAGTCAATGATATCTATTTGATTTCCATGTGAGTTACACCTTATCTTTGTTTTAAATTTGATGTGAAACTATTGTGAATCATTAATTTGTTTTTCATAATAGTGTATTGGTTTGATCTTGTTCTATGTGTGCTAGATGATGTAACTAACCAAATGTTCACATCTTAATAGTTTTTGTATTCTTCTAAACTTGATTCTATCATTCGATACTTCTAATAATAATGCTTTTAGTAGAAAAATCATCAATGTCTATGTCATGCATTGACGAATTCAATTTCATATCAAAAATTTTATAAACAAGTTTCACTTAATTTTTTTCCAATATTTCATGTTATTTCTACGTGCTTATATATTTTCACATTTCAAATATAATTTTACATCATATCTTTGTGATGAATTAGTGCAATTTACTTGCTTAAATGTTATGCTATGTTGCTTGCTTCAACTATTTCATACAAAAAAACATTCCATGCTCTAGATAAAAATCTATTGTTTTGAATTAAAAGAGTTATGAAAGTGTAAAAAATTTGTTTATTTTTCATTCAAACATCATCAAATTGTTTAGAAATCAACACACAACACAATATTATGCTACGTTGTTTGTTTGAACTATTTTAAGCTTGAATGATGAAACTAACTAATGTTGTAGATCAAATTTTATGGTTTCAAATTTGAATAAAGGTTTTGAAATTGTGAATCAATTGATATTTTTTACTAAAACATACACAAAACGTTGCCGATGTAAACACACATAGCACATGCAAAGTTTAAAAAAATGATTATGTGATAAATATTTTTTGACTATGTAATATACTTTATGAATATAAACTATTCTAGTAAAGCAATACTGTGTTTCTTAGACTACGGAATCGTATCACTAGTTTTTTATGATAGTTTAATGGTGTTTCTTGTATAATGATGAACTAACTTGACAAAAAACCAAGGTTAGAATTACCCAAAAATGATTGAAACCTGAGTTATTCATCAATAGAAAAACTTGATTTTAAGTTAGTTATTTATATGGATGAAAATGTGTATTGGATATTGATGTGTTGTGAGGAGATATGTTCTCAATTAGATAAAATAAGTTGAGAACAACAAATCCAACTCGACAAAATCTTGAAGATAATAAGTCTCTAGCAAAAGCGCTATATCATGCCGTACTTATAAAACACATTCATCTCATTTAACATTCTTATCAATGTGTTTTTTATGCTTTTTATGCATAGGTCAAACACAATGAAAATATTGATTAAGCTTGAATGTGTCATATATAGTTTTATCATAGATCTTATAATATTTGTAATGAATCAAAAAAATATTCTATAAGTAACTAATATTGTTTAAGATTTGAATCCTCATACTTCTTGTTTCTAGTTTTTCATAGAATTTTAAATAAATATTTGTTCAAGTTACTAACATGTAAACTTTGTTCACTCTACAAACTTGAACAAACTTGGATGTTTAATATTCTTATAATGAGATGTGAGTTCTTCAAATCATTAATAACATCATCATATTGAACTTTTACAATGTAGCTCATATTTTCATATTTTTTACCTAACCATCACGACTTGAAAAGTTTCTTAGAAGAACATCTATGATTAAAAATATAAAAATTTTTGTAATAATCCAAAAAATAAATACCACAAAATAGACTATATCCACAATTTGAATGTATGATATAATTGCTACACATTGATGTATCATTACTCCACATTCCATGCCGATTCTATCAATGGAAACTAATTACACCTAACATATTTATTATCAGTAAAAACAACAAGTATGTCTAGATGCATTAGGCATCTATAACATTCGCAATCAATAAAGACTTGAAATGTGGTATCCGACATTAAAATAATTATTTAAAACATATATTAATCAACCAAAAAAATCCACATTTAAACATTTTGCTGCGACATGAAGAACTACGAGCTTTTGGTCTCATAAAATAAATTTTTCAAGCAAAAAGCAATATAAAGATGTCACTCTGTGTGAGTGGTATGACTAGGCAATTAGTTTCTCTAGCAAAGCATGCTCCAATACAAAATGCAATGAAATCTGTTATATGCAACAAGTTTGAAACTCAATAGTATGAGTATGAACCGGAACTCTTGAAATATGTTCTTGAAGAAACTTATCACCAATGAGTTTTAGTACTACAATGTAGTTAATAGTATTAACTCAAGTCCGGAACTAAACTCTTATTAACCTAAACTTTAAACTTTAGTTAACCTTAATCAAGTTAGAGTTAGTATTAGAGTTACACTAATTAAGGTTAAAACTAGGCTGGATTTTCTGCTATCCTATATACTTCTACATGTATAAGAAGTCGAGCCACATGTCGTTTTAAAAAGTTTGTGATTAACCAAGTTTTTTTTTTCAGATGAATTTCTCTTTTGTTAATAATTAGTTCACACAACTATCTAGAAAAGTGATAGAGCACAATCTTCAATTAGAGATGCTTCTAAACTTAGATGTCAATAGTTTGACATCAGCTAGCTAGTTCCACTATCAAATATATATGTATCTTCTTGGAGTTGAAGTATTTAAATATCAAATTGAGCATGTTGAAATTTGATATGAAGGTTAGATGTTAACGATGGAGTTAGATATGAAGTAGACATATGTTATATGTATGAGCAAAACGTGATACCTTGTGTGCTTCTTTAGTATTTGTGTATTTCTTTAGTTTCGGTTTGGTTTAGTCTGTAGTGCAGAAGATTATGCACTAGATACTCATCCAAGTAACATGCGACAAAAAGGTGGAACCCTCGCACCACTTAATTCAAAGTCCTTGTAGTGCAAGGTACCAACTAATACTTTGGGCGTGTTTCTCATTGAGGAAATTCACTATTTCTTCTTACCGTAGTTAACAAAAAGATTGCTTGTCAAAAAAATCACAATATGGATAAATACCATCACTTTTTAAAGTAATTGTGATTTTTTGTTAACAAAAAAATCGCTACAGCTGGATTTGATGTCAAAAAAATTGCCCTTAGAAATGTTACTTTATTGTAGGAGATTCTCGTCAATTCTCGGTTCTGTGGAAGTTTCCGTTGAAGTTTTTGGTTGCCGTGCCGCATGGCGGAGTCCGTGGCGGAGTTGAAGACATCCGTCGTGGAATACCATCCTTTGTCGTCACCTTCGTCACCTGAAATGAAGCGGTTCTTACTAACAAATCCCAAAAACAAGATATGGGTGGAAGCTCAAGAGAAGCGTCACAAAGCCGAACAGAACGTTAAAGAATGTTTACCGCTTGGTTCGTTGTGAATTATTTCCAGAGTTTCACCCTGAAACTGTCGAGTTGGGCTCGGCGGCAACCTCAAGCTCTTCCCCGAAGGAGATTGTGATTGAGCCTCGTCAGCGGTAACTTCACCTTACATTGATTAAAGAGCTCTTGAAATCCTTTACAACAACTGGGAAACAGACCATTGCTCTGTATCGTACAAGGACTTGAAAGCAGAAATTGAAAGCCATATTTTTTTACTTTCACAAGTCTTTAGGAAACATGGACCAAGAATTGACATGCTCTCTCTTCTCGATCAACGTCATGATGTTTCAGAATTGGATCAAGCAGAATAGGTATTTCAGTAAATTGGCCACTATGTTGAGGCTTTTAAAGTCTCTGATATCCTGCCTCACTGCCTGCCACATATCGAAAGGATTACGATGATTTGGACACTTCAAGCCAGGTGTAGATCGATTCAAAGTTTCGCAATTCCATTTCAGGTCATCAGTACGTCTCGGCCTTATCTGCCGGTACTCGTCAAAACAATCGGAAAGCAACCGGAAAATCTGACATCACATATCTTCTCCAAACAACCAAGACTGTAGGTTCTGGAAGAATAGTGGAATACGCCCAGCAAGAAGAATTCCTTATCTCCACTGTGATGATGAAATGAGAGACATGCAACCCATTGAGCAAATTGGCAGCCTACGATCTGCTGATCTCAACGTTTGGTCATGAACAGGAAGCGAAACGCACTAAATGGGAGGTGAAGATGAAGATCCATTCAGGGCGTATATCTCCAAGCCTTTTGCAATGGGTCGCCAGAGTTCTTGAGAGACATAGATTTTTGATTCGGAAGGATTCAATCTCCTAGACAATTCCTATCAATTGGTTACAAATTTGTTTGGATGCATGTGACTTGATTTGTAGCATCATGCGATCTGCTGATGTGACCCGTTGGTCAATGCGGACGAAATGTTTCTTCAAATCTATCCGAAAGAAACCCATTTGATTGCTCCAACAAATGTACGACGAGTTGGCTCCAACCGAGCCGAATATGCCAAGAAAGAATGCACTGTGATGGTGGCATGCGAGATGTTCCAATCTCAAATCATTGCCCCTATGATTATCATGACTGGCCAACTTGATGGGACGCTTTCAAGACGATTCTCTTATTGGAATGAGTCTAGCAAAGTCACGTTCCATCCAAAGCATTGGATGGACAAAAACGGATGCTACACTTACTTGGAATATTTGGCGTCGTGTTATGCAAGCGAGAAGGTTGGTTTGATTTGGGACGCGGCTTCTAGCCATTTCTCAAATCAAGTCAAAGAGAAAGCTCCTGAACTGAACATCACGTTGGGAGGTATTCATCCTAGGTGCAGTAGTTTGATTCAAGTATGCGATCTGATTGCCAACAAACCGATCAAACAGGCCTTCAAGACGCGCTAAGTCTCATGGAAGATTGTGCCTGATCCTGGCACTGGAATCAAATACAAGGTCGATCGAAAGTACGTCATTTCTTGCCTCGAACAATCGATCGAAGATGTAAATGCCCGCAGAGGTTGCCCGCAGAGGTTGCTAAGGCCTTTGTTACCTATGGACAAGATTTTTGTTGTGCAAATCAGTCTACATTGACTGAGTACTTGGGGAAACACAAGGAGAACGGTGTATATCAATCACTAATCGACAATCAACGATCTTTGGATCTGGAATAAAGCTTTTATCATTTGTTTTAATTTTGAAAATGGTGCATCAAAAGTTCACAAAATAATGACAATTTCTTGTTAGAATCGATGACTTTTAATGCTAACTCAATCGCTATTTGAAAATGCCTCAAGTAATTTTTTTGTTAACTTTGTGTGAAAAGGGCCTAGTGGAAAAACGTTGGAATCCAGGGACTATGCCCCGTTCCGTTTGTAGGTTACTGGGTTTGACGAGGGACGAGGGCAGTTGCTTTCTACCATGAAAGTACAAGGTCTATTTGGCCGCAACATTTAGTTACCTCGTCTGGTTCCATGTATCCCGGTAGCCTATTCACAGTTCCATCTCCAGATGGTGGCACGTCATTGGAAAGTAGACACATGTTAATGTATGCATGACGATTGGCAGACTTCAGTAGGAATTCGCGTGCTACTGGATGCAACAAGTGTCCGCGGGAGAGCTCTGTGGGCGACACTTGTTGTACATAGCGGAAAGACTCTAACTCCACATACATATATGAGATGTACAGAGGCAATCAAATTTGGTCAACGTCAGCAGTTCCCTAAAACGTCGGTGCAAATTTAGCTCCACTCTGGTGTTACGTAGTTTTCTCGAGATTGCAATGGACACTTGTCAATCAGCATCACGTGAAACTCGGTTGTGCAAAAGTTTTCAGGCTGCCAGCTCTTTCTAATCGACATGCGTCTGACACCTCATTCGATTGGTCACTGCAGCTTCGGCACTTTGTTCACCTTGTATCCCAACAACGCTTCTAAAGCTGTAAATGAAAACTTTATATGGATCTCGAATTGTTGTCAACCCAGCTATTGGCATGTCGAGAAACGGAGGATCAACTGTCACTCCAGTAACTCGAGGAAAATTTCACGTGTTGAAGACGGACTGTATCTAGCAGGCATTGGAAATCGAGCGATTCTTGGGTTTTTTAACTCACAGACATTGACGAGACTAGCAAAAGGACGAAGAAAAAGCTCTCGTGATAGGAGCGAAACTCCGAGTTTGTGCGCGTTGTAACAAGGGGTTATGAACGGCGAGATGGGAACCATCGGAGAAGCGAATTCTAAACCTGGTCCCGTGAAGAGGACGATTGCCAAGCTACGGCATAAGGGACATGATGATACTTCGGACGAGCATCGTGACGACGCAACACACAATACTCACTCGAAGACTGAAGATTACACGGGTTCCGTAACCTATGCTCTTGTGCGTGAACTCTTTCAGTACCTCAACAGTCAGGAGGGACAGATCGCCATCAGGAATGTTGTAACGACACAAGCCAAAGTTGCAGCAAATTTGGCCGTTACGGATGGAGCCAAAGAAGCTTCTCGCGTTGCAGCATTACAGGCTGTGAAGGGATCCTACGATGCGGCCGAGTCCAAGTATTTAGAGTCGTGGAAAAAGCTTCCAGGGATCGTGAAAGCGACTGCCGTTCCACTTGTAGCGTGCTATGTTGCCTTTCTAGCCGTAGCACTTCTTCTTACCTTGTGGAGGTTCGTTCTCTACGGCACAAGCTAGATAGACTGCATCGGGTGATTTACCGTCAATGTACATATTCTGATCCAGAATTGTTGGTTGATCCAACTGCCCGAGCAGTTGTCAAATCTGTCATTGTGCACACACATGTATACAAACACACACACAGAGAAGGATTTATTGGATCTAGTGTAGCTAGTGTAGCTAATATGTTATACTATAAATTGTTGTAGAAGGCCAACCTCAAACCTGGGCTCTCTTGGCTAGAAGTTTTGTTCTCACTGGGGACCAGCATCACCAGTCTAAGGCTGTGCGCTGAGATTATGCATTTTGTAGCTGTCCACGCATTGTGGTTGTGTTTGTTCCAAATTAGTGGGACAACGGCACTAATCGACGAATTTACTTACGAATAGATAGATAATGAGCAGTGGTTCATGGTGTAGTACTGAGACGCATACAGACACTTCATGAAAGCACGCGTGTGATTTAAATGATGTCGAATCTTTTTTTCTTCGCGAACATTGGCAAAACCTGTGTAGAATATCCTGGTGGGAAAAGTGGGAAAAATCGAGAATGGAGTAACTGTGCTTATTATCGGCATCCTGACTTTGTGATTGATATTTCTTGCGTGAGATGTGATGATAATAAATTTCGCGCAGCGTGCCCGCCATCTACGAGTGTCGTGGGTTGGGTGATTTCGAGCTTTCCGGGAATAATCGACTATGATTTAATTTTACCGACTCAAGTGTGACCGACTGTCTGGGGACCAGAGAGGCGTTCATAATGGAGTTTTGACTTCCTACAGAGTCGTGGTTATGCTCCCAATGATATGGACTGTACTTCTATTGTCTCGCGCTAATCAGTGCGCACCATGAGAATAATATGTTCTGAGGAACGTTATAAATATCGACATGAGGGAAACAAGTTGAAAACTTACGATTCACATGCGTTAATGTGAATAGAGAGAATTTTGTTTCCACCTCGAAGACAAAGGACGACACTTGCTCGCGACTAGGATAATAACTGCACTTGATTCGTAAAAACGACAACATGTGTCTGCAATTTTAGTTGAAGATGAGAAATTGGCGCATTTAATCCCTGTTAAGACGATTGTTACACATCGCTTCATGATGTACAAAACACTCACATTAGTATTCCACAACGCAGTTTGCACTGTCAGAGAGACAGGATGCGGTCAGAACATCAAATTAGGGATCCGAGTTCTATTTACGGCCTCATCCCACAGCTATCTCGTCATTGTCCTGAAACGAAAAAAACCTGTTGAATTTTTTCTAGAGTCTGGGTCATCTGCTTCTTCAAATCCTACTGCTGAAGACAAAAACACTTGATCAAGCGAGCTTGTCTTGTGTGCTTAGTAGTTACCAAAATTTAATCTTCTGCGCGGTGGATCCCAGGTTTACAATGTCAGGTTGGTTCAGAACGATGATCATTTATTTGTTCGCTTGTGTCTTGGGAGATATGGACTGGCTGTCCTGTAGCCCGAATTCTACTCGGACGGCTTGGAGAGCGTTCAGAGGTGGATTCAGGGAGTAGCACCTGCATTCACAAACCTCGAAATGAGCGTAGTACCCTTATAACCAGTTCAATCATGTCACAAACTATATAATATTCCCCGTGAGAGAGTGGAAAAGGTGAAAAGAGCCCAATAACAATAACAATGGTTTATAAGGTTACTGCAGTGTTACTATTAAGCTTCTGGTAGGGCGACTGAAGTGCCCATGGAGTGAATTATTGCATGATCGTCAGATGCGAAAAAGTTATTTCCAACGCACGCCATCTCCTTGGCAGATGCAGGCGTTGATTCGATGGGGATAAGTCTGGTTTCGTCAAACGTGCACAGGCGAGCAGGGAATATAAATGCTCCAGTTTCCAGTCGAAATATCAAACTTGTGGGGGATCCATTAGTATTGAACCATCTTTGAAACGACGTGGCATGTATAGAGAGAAGTGGGTTAAATATGAATCCTCCAGTTTCCAACGGATTAGCAAAGTTGTAAGGGATCAGATTGTACTGAACCATCTGTGAACTACGTGGCATGTTTATAGAGTAGTAGTTAAAGAAAATGCTCCACTTTCCAATCAAGTAGCAAAGTTGAAGGGATCTGATCGGACTGAACATCTTCGAAAATCACGTGGCATCTAGAGAGACAGACAGACAGACAGAGAAGTGGTTCAAAGTAGGTTTCCCTTACCTTGGTCGTTAAGATTATGGTCTACGATAGCCCCAGCACATGCTTGTTCTTTAGTTGTAGAGAAACTTGGTAATTATGAGGAAAATAGGTGACGCGTAGTTCTAGAGGACAGAGTCATACGGGCTGCCAAGACCAAAACCTTTGATGGTGGAGTATCACGCTACTCCCTCCGGCTTCTGGCAGTTCATCACGACAACTTCATTCAGTATCGCGAAAATTTGTGAAGCCTAATTTATAGGAAATAAAATAGAAGTCAGATGTCAAGGCATGATTTAGCTTATTCAGAGGATAATCCAGAGGAGTACATGCCAAAATGAGTGTTTGGCTTTTTGTAAGTAGTGTCAGATTCCCATAATTCACGAGATGATTCTCTAAAACTCGTAATACGCTCCCAAACTAAAATACGTGTTTGCATGTTTGTCTCTGCACTCTTGAAGCCCGTCTTACTTCATAAGGCATGGCTGAAGCCATTTTCCAATGTATTGGATGGATGTTGATGTTTACAATGCGCAATGTCATTAAGGATCGTTTCACTACCGTATTGTATGTACATACCTCACGACATCGTTGTTTCGAGGATCCCTTTCCTCTCGTCCTTTTGGTTATCGGGTACTCTCATCGAATGGTTCTGAAGTGGACGTCGTCATTTCCGGGCGGGATGTTTTTCCCGACAGGTGTGGAGTTACTTCACTCCTTTTGACCTCTAACCACAAGGAATACACTATATCATCCAGAGCTGAACGTGAACTGGCATGATTCAAAAGTACAGTATCGTTATCATTCTAGCCACAAGTTGTGTGCTCTTAGATCACCTATCGAATTCGAACATTGAAGTTTTCAAAAAACCACCTCGTGTTTGGTGAAAAGGAGTCCAACCGGCACGAGATCTTCTATTCCCCCTACTTTCAAGCTTGTTGTCACATGTCCACAAACCTAATGCCGCATTATCTCCGATTCTCCATTTACTGTAACATCCTTGAAGGCTTGAAGATAAGATTGTGAGGTATTTGTTTAGGAATCAATCACACTCTTGTCTTCTTCTGTCCCATGCTTCCTCCCATCATTTCAATTGGATACCCACGTGGCCCTTAATTGTTAGAGAGATTCATAATTGTCAACAAAGAGCATTTAAAGTAGAACGACTTGGAACGATGGAACGATCCACCAGATCAACGTCATTGCTGCCTATTTCCACTTGAGCCAGTTACTAACTAGAACAACAGACGAAGACACTTCCCCTCGGACAAATTGATCTTCTTTGCTCTTCCCTAATTATATACTTATTACAATTTTGAGCTACCCCTGTTGTTTAGTATTCACTAATTTTCCAAACATCGGCTTCTTTTCGTTAGAGCCTGGAATCATACTCGTGGTGACGTTTATGGGTATCTGACTTGCGTATCATACTGTAGTGCCACTTGTTGACAGTTGGATCTAGTCAACAAGTGTGTTGGACGTGATTGAGGAAACCGTACAACTAAAAGCATGAACGAGTAAGTTATGGATAAGGAAATGATTTAACCTTCCTTATTTACCTCTGGACTAGAGTGTGGCATAGACTTGTAACGAAGCAAGTAACTTCATTGGAGAGTTAAAAGAAAACAACTTGACGACAGATTGTGATCCGAAGTAAATAAAGAAATGTCGATGTTCGCTTCCCATTAGTTCTCAATTTCATCAGATTAATATGTCACAATGTTTCCAATAGAGATGAACACCTAGTGCAATCATTAGGGGCGCCAAGTTTTCTGTGACCTATATTCTGATTCATCTATAGGGTTCGGATTCATGATCCTTTATTTCTTGAATATCCTTGGCCATTTTTTTTTTAAGATATCAAACTATATGTTTTTCTGCGACTTTCTAAATTTCTTCTAACAGATAAAACTAAGAGTCTGACATCTCATTTAATTGATAAAACATACATGAATCTACTTCACACAACAAAATTTAAATATTATTTGAGAGTTAGTTTTTTATTGATAATTATTATTTATTCTGATTTTTTATCTTTATGATATCATTAATTATCACATAAATTATTCAATTTTTTTCATAAATATAATACAAGATATTAAAGTCTAATTAAAATTATCCACTTTGAAAAAAAATCATCATTCAAATTTAATTGAAGTTATTTATTCACTGTTGTTGATTCTAACTATCATCATTTATTGCTTTATTTGAAAAAATATATGATGATTGTCATGATATATGAAATGTCATCAATGGTGATTCTATGCTCATCTGATGCATCAAACTCAGTCCAAATTTATGAAGTCTAGATTCTAACTTTTGTATACCAAGTTGGAAATCCTATTACATCAGTCATTGATAACGAGCATTTGAAATCATATCTATGATTAAGAATAGCTAATCTTAGAACTTGAAGAAATCAATCAATAAAGTATATTACAGAACAAGTCATACATACTTTTTCTGCTTTGGATATAAGCAATTATTGTTGTACAATTTAGGGATATAAAAGGTTATTGAAATACGTTTGTGCTGATTGGAAATGGATTTTTTAATATATCTGCGATGATGAATGACCCTTTTTGTGATCTTTCAGAAGCATTATGTGTTGTTACTTATTTGTAAGTATACAACACGATGACTTGTCTAAAAGCTTGTTCTTTATAGATTGATTGTGAAAACTAAATTGAAACAAAACTAAAGTTCTGACGGATTCTAATTGTTATTAAAAAATTCAAAAAATATACGTCAGATAAACACACATATGTATTTTAATTTATCAAAAGGAAATTTATCAAATTGAAAGCCATATTTTAAGGAAATTACTCAATAGAATGATAAATACTAAAAAATGTAAAATAAAGTGGTTGATTGCTCTCAGGCAAATTGATTTTCAATCTTAATTTCTGATATATGCAAGAAAATCATTTCTTCTTCAAATTTGTTGAATTTTACCTGTTATATTCAAATCATCATGTTAAGATTTTTTCAGATTTTATTAGTTGCTGATTAAATTTATTAATTTATTTATTTGTATTTATATTTATATAAAAGCTTCAAAGCAACATAAACCGGGACTTATTTTTCACAACTTTATGTACCAACGTATGTTTTGAATCAAGAAATAACTGACTTGTAATCCAAAAGAGTAAAAACCTGGAAGGTCGATTTGATTTTTAAATGTTTATGATTCAAAAGAAATTAATTTTAATTCTAATCTGAAAACAATAGTTATTTTATAACATTTAATTGTTTATGTAGAAATTTAATGTGCAGAAATAAAAGAAATAAAATTTACATCTTCATCTTT